ATTCATTATGTATCCGACTCAATCAATCATTCGTGGTATTTACAATACACTATAAAATATACAGTCAATATAAATCATTGACGACATTAACTGATTAGCTATTGCAATTAGAATATAAAGTATACTCTAGAAATTTCAAATACTCACAAATAATATTCTTTAGTTACAACAATATAAGTAGAATTTTTATTCTTGATTATTTAGCATGTAACTATCCAAATTTGAACTTAATATAACTTTTTTTTTAAACTGTGTTTGTATGGTTATTAGATTTTTCTTGTTGCAGAGTTCACTCACTACTTACGTGAAACATTGTTTTAAATTTTCAATCCTTAGCTATAAAAGTTAAACGTATTATACATTTTTAACAAATCAAAATTAACACATTCATTGCTCCGCTCAGAATCTAAAATTAATAATTATATACATAAATAAACATTTTTTTTTTTAAGTTCCACATTCCTCTAGCAGTCTAGCCCTAAATAGCCAAATGTATCTTATTATTAATATTCTACTGTAGTTATAACTGAAATGTTTTACTATAATTCTAGTACGTCTTTTTTTTTTTTATAAATATTATATGATGACGGGCGTTACACTTATTGTTATCAATGTGAAAATTTATTATTTGTTTTTATATGCACGATTTCATATCATTAGTATACTAGATTACTAAAATATTGGTATAAACATATTACCTATTTAAAATGATTGTAGAAATATAGTTCAATATCGCAGATTCTAGCAACTATAAAAATACAATCTAAAAATTGACATTTCATGTTAATTATTGTGTTTAAATTTAAAAAATTCTCTGTTACAAAGAAAATTTGTAAAATAAATTCACTTATTATTTTCCATTTGCATGAAATTAATGATTGCTACTATGCAGCAATATCTGAAATTGCAAACAGGAACATAGGTACGTAATTAAAATTTAAAGCTAAGWATCTATAATAATATTTGTTAGAAYTTGACTGTAATTTTAATAATATATTTAACATATTATATATACTAAGTCCTGTGCATACTATACATAATAATAATATAAAACTATCATCTTATTCATAATTTGTTTTTATTATTCATATTAATAATAATAATCAATTTTTAAGTATGTAGAATTTATAATCAATAAAACTGTAACATCATAATTTATTTGTAACTTAAATTTGTAGTTAGTAGCTTAATTTAGTAGCTAAATTTGTAGCTTAAATTATATTTAGTTAGACCACTAACTTTTCACTTAAACGTGCATTTAAATTTTTTAACATACATAATAATTTTCTTGTGACCTACCAAATTAATCATTATATAATATTTTATATAACGCATTAATTCGTTTCATTGTTTTATACCATATAATATTATTTAAATATTATATTTATATCTAACCATTTACGACGTTATATATTTATATGTATTGTTTCTGTGCAAACAAACCCATTATT